TATATATATATATATATATATATATATATATATATATATAAAGAAAGTAAAGGGTACCACCTCTGGTGCCAATGTGGGGACCCATAGCCTCGGAGAAGAAAATAAAAAGTATTCAGAGGAGACCTTGTGGTTTCTCACTGAACACTAATATTATCTTCTCCTACCACCCCCATTCTTTTGTATGTACACATATATATTTACTTTATTTGAACTTTGTTACAAAAAGGAGTTACATATGGGTTACAAAGATGGTTATCATAGGTTGTCGAGTTCCTCCAGCTCCTCAGATGGCGGGCAGGAACCCTGGATGCAGTGCGCATTTCCCCTCTGTATCGCCACACTGAGGCGCTGGAAAAGAAAGTTTGCAGCTCTTGGGTCCCTTGTTGTTTCAATGAGCCTAGAACCCAGTTCCTTCAAAAAACTGGCAGCACTTTTACCCCAGGCGCCGAGTGTCTCAGAAGCAATGGGGACAAAATTGTAGTGGTGATCCAGTTCTCTATACTTACGGGATTTGGCTGCTTCCCTGTGGGTGGCAGCGCCACCTGGTTGTGCAACACTGAGGTTAATGTAGGTGTTAGCCAGGGTTGATACGCACGTGTAGTCCCATACCAACTGCTTGCCATTCTTCCAGGGGTTCACTGTGATACCATCCGGGCGACCAATAAGAGCATCAGAGTTACTGGGAGTTAGGTAACGGGGCTCTCTTTCAGCTGGGCATCCAGCTGTGGTGAGGCTCCTCTCTCTCTCTCTCTCTCTCTCTCTCTCTCTCTCTCTCTCTCTCTCTCTCTCTCTCTCTCTCTCTCTCTCTCTCTCTCTCTCTCTCTCTCTCTCTCTCTCTCTCTCTCTCTATATATATATATATATATATATATATATATATATATATATATATATATATATTTATATATATATATATATATATATATATATTCCCAGCAATCAACAGCCAATTATTGCACAACTATATTCTACCCACCTCAAGACTCCGCTCCAATATAGAAGCATCAAGAAATATGGACCAATAGGCTTTCTACAAACACTTCTATTCAATACCCATTGTTTCGTGTTCTGTCTTGTGTTGATGAAATTAATACCCTATTAATGCCACCTCTTGTTCTGTCTTGTGTTGATGAAATTAATACCCTATTAATGCCACCTCTTGTTCTGTCTTGTGTTAATGCCACATCACCCCTTCCACCTCACTCAAATGTAGATATAAAATCGGAGATGCGTAAGTTCTATTCAGTTGTGTATTTGTGAACTAAAGTCTTTGAAAATGTAATAAGTTTTACGAAACGCGCTCGTGTCGCGTCAGACTAGAAATAAAAATGAATTTTGGAGAATTGATTTTTGATTTACCTCCAACAGTGAAAAGAAATGTTCGAAAGATTGAGAAAATTCGTGTTAGAATTATTAATCTTACTTTTTCGGTCATATTTAATAATATATGTCTACAGGAAAGACTGCTACCAAAATATGCTAATATATATATATATATATATATATATATATATATATATATATATATATATATATATATATATATATATATATATATATATATATATATGTATATATATATGTATATATATATATATAGGGAGTACCACCTCTAGCTGGAAGAAGGGGGACCCATAGCCTCGGAGGAAACCACGCATAACGCATTAGAGGGAATGTTTAGATCCCCTCCAATACAGTTTCTGTGTGCTTTTCTCCTACCACCCCCTTCCTTTTTTATTTTTTGTGCTTTTTGTGCGCTGCCACACTGGCCAGTACCTACCTCCACTACAGCACACGTGAAAGCGGTGGTGCTGCTTCTTTCAGGGAATCGCAGAAAATTATTAAATACAGGGGTCTAGCACACTGCTACAGCTTTGTTCCGATCGGCTCGGAGACCCTCGGTTCGTGGGGAAAATGTGCATTGAAGTTCCTGAAGGAATTGGGGGACAAATTGATCAGCGCTACAAAAGACCAGAGAGCAAAAAGTTTCTTGTTCCGGCGCCTCAGTGTTGCGATTCAGAGGGGAAATGCCTGTTGCGTCTTGGGCACTAGTCCAACTTCAGAGGAATTCGAAGAAGTGTTTGACTTGCAACAATGATCGAACCCGTCTGTGACATTCATCAATGTTTCCATTGTTGTGTTTTTCAAGAGATCCATAACCTTTAAGCACCTTTTTGCATTATTATTTTTGTATCAACCCATGTATATCTTGTAACCATCAAATGCATAATAAAGCACAATATATATATATATATATATATATATATATATATATATATATATATATATATATATATATATATATATATATATATATATATATATATTCGAGTGAGGTGGGAAGGGTGATGTGGCATTAACACAAGACAGAACAGGAGGGGATATTAATAGGGTATTAAAAGTATCAACACAAGACAGAACAGAAACAATGGGTATTGAATAGAAGTGCACAACAAATATATATATATATATATATATATATATATATATATATATATATATATATATATATATATATATATATATATATATATATATGTATGTAACTTCTGCAATTACTTCCATTCAAATGATCACTTATCCAATTTATACCCATTGTTTCGTGTTCTGTCTTGTGTTTGTCACCTCACCCAAAACTTTTGTGCCATGTCTCCTCATCCAATAGAGTATAAGTACGAAGAATTTGTGTGTAAATTAAGTCTTTGAAAATGTAATACGAATTACGAAACGCGTTCAGGCGTCAGACAATTAAAAAAAATGAATTTTGGAGAATTGTTATTTTTATTACCACCGACAGTGAAGAAAAACATAAGAAATATTGAGAAAATTTGGGTTACAATTATTAATCTTACCTTTTCGGTCATATTCAACACAAAGGGAATTATCAAGGGAAAGCTCTCAGCCATTATGACTATAGCATTTGGAAGGTGGGCGGGGGGGGGGGATGGAATGGTGCCCAACCACTTGGATGGTCGGGGATTGAACGCCGACCTGCATGAAGCGAGACCGTCGCTCTACCGTCCAGCCCAAGTGGTTGGACTAATGGACACAGAATATGCAGTCATATCCAGTGAAACGTATCTAAATGAAAACATACTAACAGTATACAGGCACCCAGCGGCTCTTGGCACTAGACTTTGGTCGCCAATGCAAATAATTACAAAATATGAACTTAGCTGCAACGCTCGTTACCATTGTTACAGCCCAATCTGACCCTTTATCACCGCACTCATACGTCCTTTGTGATGACGTTAGCGAGGCATTGTTAGAGGGGGCTAACTGTGTACTGTGTGAGTACAGTACACAGTGTGAGTACACAGACGTACCATACACACATCTTCATGACTCGTCGACCCACATGCCTGGTATTGATTGTCCCTTGAGCTTCATCACATTCCACCGCTGGTACTCGCTTGCTGTCACTTGGACAACATTCCACCTGCTAGTTGTCTGATCTCCCTCTCATTCGTGTGTTTAATGTTGTTGTCTGGACGGGAGGTATATCTACTGCTGGCTGACAGATGAATATCTTCCTTAGATATTCCGTAGTGAGAAGGTATGTTTGTGTTTAATATACATGTAACAAAAATTATCCCCGAAAACATTGCTATATCCAACACACACTCACAAACACACACTGTCATATTAAACTTTACACCGCTGCTGTAATACATTGTTTATGTCTAACACATCGTTATGTCACACAAACAGTCATGTCTGACACAAACAGTCATGTCCGACACAAACAGTCATGTCCGACACAAACAGTCATGTCCGACACAAACAGTCATGTCCGACACAAACAGTCATGTCCGACACAAATAGTCATGTCCGACACATCATTATGTCCAACAAATCAATGGCTGGATGGAACGGACTTGCTCCGAGGACGGGTTGTGAAGTACAGTGATGTTTTGTTATGTGTGACTCGAGGCTTCAGAGTAATCACGTTATAATGGAGGCTGCCAATTACCTTAATGGTTAAACTTTTCCGCTAAGGGACACCCACATGTCTCAAGTACCAACCCTCTCAACATGTGGGTGTCCCTTAGCATACAACTTTGACCATTAAAATAAGTTTTATCCTCCATTATAACGTGATCACTCTGAAGCCTCGAATCACCCGCACACATAAAACAACTTCACTGTACTTCCTTCCCATGCAACCCGTCCTCGGAGCATGTCCATTCCATCCAGCGGCCGACCCTTTTGACGCATTCATCAATTTTAATATGATGTTTATTCAAAATAGGAATATTCTTAAATATCAATTAATATTGTTATATATCAGCATATTGTGAGGATGGGCTGCTTCATAAACAAAGGCCAAAGTCCATTCCATGCACCCGCCAAACCCCCTGTTTATGATTGAAAAACTTTTCCTCTTCTGTGAGTTGCTTATTAGAACTATAATACCTTTTGGTAAAGTTTTTTTTTATTTATATTATTTTTTATCAATTTTTGATAATTTATTTAAATATTTTGTTGCTCAGTAATTTTTTGTTATCAACAGTCTGAGGCTCATTTCTCAGTTTAAGGGTTTAGGTTATATGCTGTCTGACAACTGGGGGTTTTAGGAGTTAAAACTCAACCCTTCCACATGTATAATGTAGAAGTCTAGTTTAGCGCAGTTACTGAGATCAGATGACAGAGGACGGAGCAATCGGAAAAGAAAACGTATGTTATTGTTAGTGAGTAAAGGAGTAACTTTAAAAAAAAGGAAGTCACAGCCGGGACATCGAAGTGAACTTAAAAATTGTTGATTTGAAAGCTGGACTTTCTTTCTTCTGTTAACTGTACGAATGTATGTCATCCTCTGTACATTCCTTATACCATATTCTTTATTCAGTTCATTGTTGGACTAACATACCTTGTTCACTGAAGATGCTATATGTGTTTGAAACATATGGTATCTTCCTCAGATGATTCTGCAGACGGTGCCGGGCCGGCCAGGATTTAGTCACTGGGGTAAAGGAAAGCTGATTGTGGCGATAGTCGTAATGGCGGCCCTGTTTATCCTGTCCCGAAACATCCCCTTTACACCTGATGTGTATGTTGGGTGAGTCAAAAACCTCTGAAAGATCTGTTTTAATACTTCATTCAACGTGTGAATGAAGTATTAAAATCTTTTTTCACCCAATGGTTTTCTTGAGTTATAATTTTTTTTTTTAATTCGCCACCTTTTACTTCTGAATTTTATTCACTAAAGGAGTAAACTTTTGCTCCCTTATTAAGGTTGTTGTTGTTGTTGTTTTATATTTAGCCACTCATAACGAAATGTCCATGTAGCACAGGCTATGGTGAGCCCGTAACTTACTAAGGGACAAGGCCACGAACAAATCCACAAGGGCCGTGACGAGGATTCGAACCTGCGTCCGGGAGCATCCCAGACACTGCCTTAATCAACTGAGCTACGACAGGGTAAAAAGGGTTGAAACCGAAGTTCTACTGAACTTACTGGATCCCGTAGCCTCTCCGAGGCACACACCAGGATTTTACACAACCCCTCCCTGCACCCGAGCTATGTCAATAGGCCGTCAATAGAATCCTCGTCACGGCCCTTGTGGATTTGTTCATTTGATGCATCACGTTAGTGTGATCTGTGTGTGACAAGGCCAAGATTTCTAGGAGACGCGTGGAGACGCCAGCAGCTCCTCACATCCGTGAACCATCTCTGGACTTTGAGGTGACGCGCAGGCTGCTGGAGACCAACTTGCGGGATACCTGGTTCTTCTTCTCCAACCGGCTGAGGGAAATAAAATCGTCGAGCAAAGGAACCAAGATTGAAGGAGACTTGAATTACCTCATTAAAGAAGGTGCTGAACGCATAAGGTAATTGATATGTATAAATTACTTTCATGTGCATATTCAAGCCAGCACACACACACACACACTCACGAATGAAATTCATTTATAAATTAGGAAATATACAAGTACTAATATTAATGTATTAATATATGGCTGTTAATATCTTGACTTGCTGGAACATTTTCGTGCTTTCCATCTGTGGTAAAATATAAGATTAATTTATTTGCAAAAATCTTTCCTAGTTAATTCTCTTAAAACTCTGTAATTCTTACGTTAAGTTCAGATTCGACACCACTGGGTATAACAGCTATAGAAAAACAAGTACATTAACAGTGGTGGCTTTAACCTATCCACACGTACATCTATAATGCTGCTTCGAATAATTTTGGTGTCGATCTTTTTCTGGTCTATCCAAATTACACCGTTAGTTTGCTTCAGTACGACCTGCTGGAAAGGAGAAGCGACGAAGCTGAGTGATATGGTACAGCGTCGTCTGTACCGCCTCCAGAACCCTCCTGACTGTGCCACAGCTGAGAAACTCGTGTGTTCTTCCCTACATCTTCAGGGTGCTTCAGTATGATCTACGGCGCCTCGGTCAGCTAGACGGGGCGGACATCTGGAGGGAGAGAGGGATAAGGGAGCTGAGTGATATGGTCCAGCGTCGTCTACACCGTCTCCAGAACCCTCCTGACTGTGCCACAGCTAAGAAACTTATCTGTTCTATGAACCATGTAAGACCCAGCTTTCCTTCTTGTACGTTTGTGCGTTTTCGTATACAAAGAAAGCTCTAAGAGTTGACGTTAAATACGTTTGAATGCATGCTGCCTCCAATGTGTTTATTCCATAGCATGGTTTGACCATACTCTGCTTTCTATCAGAGTATGTGCACATATTCCATAGCTTCATATCACCATACTGTGTCTTCAGGATAGCATGTTCTCACCATAACATATTCCGTTATCAGGTGTCTGGCTCTCGACCGGGATATCCGGTTGAAGGGGGTCCCATGTCAGAAACATTGACCCCGACAATTAAAGTCCGGTTAGAGCACTTTTTTGTTTATTTCCTGTTAAGCGTTATCTCCCACGCATTATCCAGTGCCCTGAGAAAGCTGCTCGATATCAGTATCACTCAATTATGCATGCTGTATGCATCGCTTAGCCAGAAATATACCTTTGCAACTGGAGATTTCTGTGTTATAATCACCTTCTTCGGCATCAATGTGCATGGAAATAAAATTTCCATGCACATTGGAAATAAAATTAATTATATAAATATATATTTTGAATGATGTACGACTGATCAAATGGCGCTTGATAAATATTGTGATGCGAGATACAGCATTAATGAGTAGCAGATAAATCCTAGTGAATCTAAGAGGATTATAGAGGAATAGAATTCTTTTTCCGCTGTGGAGTCACGGCCTCATATTAGGTTGTATTATGTTCATGTTCTCTATGCTGTTCAGGATAATGTTTCTGGAGAACATTCTTAGCAACAGGGAAAAGTTATGAACTGATATAAAGATTCGAAGTAAAACATTAAATAAATTAAAGGTCTGTTTAAAGTTATACAAATTTATTGTTATTTGTACTATTAATTAATGACTCATACTGACAGCCAGTTCCGGATTGTACGAAATATTGAATTTATAATTCTATTTAAATCCTTAATTTTTATTGGATTACTGCTTTTGAAAGATATATATACCTTAGATTTGGTACTGAAAATTAGCAACGTGAATGTTTATATGTAATATGTTATGTATACTGTGCTAAATATTTACATATTGGCTGCAAATTGGGGGGAAAACCAGTGAAGATGCAGACACAAACGTCCATTACACACAGAAATCACAATAGCGTGATGCATCAAATGAACAAATCCACAAGGGCCGTGACGAGGGTTCGAACCTACGTCCCAGACGCTGCCTTAACCAGCAGCGTCTAGGATCCTCTCGGACGTAGATTCGAACCCTCGTCATGGCCCTTGTGGATATATTAAACAAACGTCCATCTCTCTTCCACACTCAGGCTCCATTGTTTCTCAGATGTGTGGCCTGGGATGCGAAATACACCACCTCATTTGCTGCTTCATGGCCGCCTACGGGAGCCATCGTACCATAATCATCAACTCCCCCGGCTGGCATTACACGCAGAAGGGGTGGGAGGATGTCTTCCAGCCTCTCAGTCAAACTTGCACCACCTTCTCCAAGGAGGAGATCACACAATGGCCCGGTAACTTGCTATAAAAGAAAAGCCAACGTTAGAATACACAACTGAAGGGTCGTACGAATATTGAAAGGCTTTCTCAACAAACACAAATATCAGAATGTTTTCTCTGTGATCGCCAGGCTCCAATATTTGATGACCAGATCACACACTAGAAGGTGAAGGGACGACGATGTTTCGGGACGACCTGGATCATTCTCAAGTCAAGCAATCGACTTGAGAATGGTCCAGGACGGACCGAAACGTCGTCGTCTCTTCACCTTCTAGTGTGTTGTCTGGTCAACATACTTCAGTCACGTTATTGTGACTCATCGCCTGCATGAAGATTTTGTTCTCTGAATTTTCACAGGAAAACCTGACTCCCAGACAGTGCTGTTTATAGGCGTCGAAGCGCAACCCAAGCCGGACCACGGCCCTCTGGCCATCCCAAAGGACATTTCCGACCGGCTGATTCGTCTGCACGATGACCCGAGCGCCTGGTGGGTGGGACAGTTCATCAAATATGTGTTCAAACTTCAACCTTCAGTGCAAGAGGTTATCAACAAAGCAGAGAAATCTTTTAATTTCCAGCATCCTGTTGTGGGGTAGGTGTGAGTGTCAGTACACACTTCCAACGCTCAGTATGAAGTTCACTAAAGAACAAATCCACAAGGGCCATGACGAGGATTCGAACCTGCGTCCGGGAGCATCCCAGACACTGCCTTAATCAACTGAGCTATGACTGCTCCCGGACGCAGGTTCGAATCCTCGTCACGGCCCTTGTGGATTTGTTCATTTGATGCATCACGTTAGTGTGATCTCTGTGTGTAGTTCACTAAAGTTGTGTGTTGCTTATCTAATTACTGGTGAAATTAAAATATTCATTGGTGGCGTTTTGTAAACCGTGATTAAATGAGGTTGGTGGAGCCAAGCCCGATAGTGATGCTAAGTAGCCTCGTTACCAGCATGAACATTGAAACAAAGCTTCGTTAATAGTCTTGAATACGACGATAATCTCTCCCCTTCTCCTTTTTGTTCCAACCACTTGGGCTGGACAGTAGAGCGACGGTCTTGCTTCATGCAGGTCGGCGTTCAATTCCCGACTGTCCAAGTGGTTAGGCACCATTCCTTTCCTCCCGTCTCATCCCAAATCCATATCCTGACCCCCTTCCAAGTGCTATATAGTCGTAATGGCTTCGCGCTTTCCCCTGAAAATTAACTCCCTCCCTCACTTCAAATTAATTAGAAATCTCCTTTTTGTTAATACTTGTTTCTTTAACGTAGAACGGTTAATAATGCTTTAACGTAGACAAGTTCAGCTATCGAAGAACATTCTTCGTCCGGTGTTCTTCAAGATAACTACGACTCGTGACTCTTCACTATACAGTGTTCACGTGAGGAGAACTGATAAGAAACAGGAAGCAAGTTACCATCAACTGGAGGAATACATGGAGCAGGTAGAGGAATATTACGACGGCCTCCAGATCTTTGACACAAACCTCACCCGAAGGATCTATCTCTCTTCGGAGGAGCCTGCCATCTTCAAGGAGGCGCAGGAAAAGTAATGTATATTTTATCGTGTTTATTTACCCGATTTTACCTGATTTCATACCGGGGTATGGTGAGGGTGAGGTGTGTAATGTCAGAGTGGTGTAAGTGTGTGAGGTGTGTAATGTCAGAGTGGTGTAAGTGTGTGGGGTGTGTAATGTTAGAGTGGTGTAAGTGTGTGGGGTGAGTTATAATGCTTGTCTACCAGTAACTACTATAGCCTTATAGTGCCTGTTGAGTTATTGTTTAACTATGCTGACGTTCGAATTCTTTTTGAACTCTAGTTCTAAAATTGTGGATGGAGGTGGCTTACTCGGCTTCTTCTTTTAGTGCCATCTACGCATACAGGGCTCGAGTATTTCCTTACATTTGTATTTCCATCTTTCACACATGTTCTCTCATTCTACTTTCTATCTATTTAAGATTGCTGAAGTGTGTTCTGGTGTTCACAAGCTTAGCATATTGTGCTGATGTGATTCTATTCGTGTTGTGTTAACCCCAAGATCATTTTCTCTCGCTGACACTGATTAGTTTATTCACCTCATTATGCATGTTTTTGTCTGGCCATTTTACGTTTAGTTTCATCCTCACAACCTTGCACATATTTAGGTTAAAGACGAATAACCATTTTTCTGACAAGACTTGGAATTTTTTTATCTGTTCTTACACCCTACAAATAACTACATAGTGTATTAATAATAACAAATCTAATGTTTTAAATAGAAGAAATAAGTTTGTGTAAGTCTGCTAGCATGAGAGTGCGCATATATGAGTGTACGTATGGAAGTGTATACATCGGAGTGTGTGAATGGGAGAATGTGTATTTCAATGTGTATGAGAGACGTCACATGAGATTGTGTGTATATTAGTCGGAAATTCTTCTTGTATGTTGTCTCTGTTGCGTTTGAACGCTTTTACAGATTTTCAGAAATATTAAACCCTTGTTAGACCACACCACGTGTGAGAGTTTAATTATATTTTGGTATAATTATAATTCACTGTGTCGGGGGGACAGGAAGCCTGAGTGTAGTCATACATGTTTGGCTTTTTATCGTGGTCCTCTTCATAATTCCCTCCCTCCCTCCACCGCCCTGTTCCAAAGATCGTCTCGAATACATAATACATTTGGGACCAGATTCACGAAGCAGTTACCCAAGTACTTACGAACGTGTACATCTTTCGTCAATCTTTGACGGCTTTGGTTACATATATTAAACAGTTTACAAGCATGAAAACTTCCCAATCAGCTGTTGTTATTGTTATAAACAGCCTCCTGGTGCTTCGGAGCTCATTAACTGTTTAATAATTGTAAACAAACCCGCCAAAGATTGAGAAAAGATGTACAGGTTCGTAAGTAAGTGCTTCGTGAATCTGGCCCTTGACTTCATCACCCACACAGGTACCCACACTACGAGGTCCTCTACCACAGGAAGAGTCTGGATGTGGTCAATAATGTCAACCGGTTTACTCTTGCTTCGCTCAAAGACTTCATAGTGGACCTTCACTTCTTGTCTCGCTCTGACTATATTGTGGTCAGCTTCTCGTCCAATGTGAGTAATGGTCATTGAAGTGTTTATGAAGCATTTGTGATATAGAGTAAAAGTTACTAAGTAATGTGGCAGCAAAAAAATAATATTTATGATGTTTTTAAATGGTTATTTTAGTGGTTATTAATCTTTAATGAGTATATCACATAACATTCCTATTTAATAAAAATATTATGCATTGCCCTAAACGCTATGCGTGCTAGTGGCTGTACAGGACTGTAAGAACTCTTGTATATATAAATAGATCGATTTTTATGTTTGGTTCCAATAAGTTTTAGGATACTTTTGAATGTTTGTTCTTTTAGCTTCAAAAGTTTTATGCTTGACTTTAACTGTTTTTTTCTATGAAGGATTTTACCTAAACCAGAGATTTCTAAAAACGAAAGACCCAATACGAATGTCACTTCAGCGCTTTGAAAAATTATATATGTCAATGATTGATATGTAGCAGAGTGGTGTGCATCCTCGACTCACGCAACCGAGGGACCAGGGTTCAATCCCCAGGCAGAATATAAAGGGTTATGCATGTTTCCATTAACCTGATGCTTCTGTTCATCTAACCAGCCATGGGAACTGGTTTTGCATCCTGAGGAAGGTCATTAGTTGATCTAGTGGAACCTCGACAAGCCTGTCTCCAGGTTTCCTGTACACACAAATCATACCTATGCAGGCGATGAGTCACAATAACGTGACTAAAGTAAGTTGACCAGACCACACACTAGAAGGTAAAGGAACGACGACGTTTCGAACCGTCCTGGACCATTCTCAAGTCGATTGTCATCGATCAAGTCGATCAAGTCGGACCATTCTCCGTCAATCGACTTGAGAATGGTCCAGGACGGACCGAAACGTCGTCGTCCCTTCACCTTCTAGTGTGTGGTCTGGTCAAAATCATGCCTATACTTGCAGTCACCACCGACGATAATAAGTGCTTGTGTTGCACAGGTGGGGAGGCTGGTATACGGTCTGATGCAGTCACTGAGTCCGGACGCCTCTACCAGGAGCTTCTCAGTGGACTCTCCTTACTTCTTCTACAACCAGCGCTCTGGTTACGTCAGGACTCGCTTCCTCCACCATTCTGACAGGTTGGCATATCTATAGGTTCCTGTATAGTGTATGAAATATATATTGGAGCGTCGGTCTCGCTTCATGCAGGTCGGCGTTCAATTCCCGACCGTCTAAGTGGTTGGGCATCATTCCTTTCCCTCCGTCCAATCACAAAGCCTTTTCCTGACCCCCTTCCCAGTGCTATATAGTCGTAATGGCTTGGTGCTTTCCCCCCCCCCCCCCCTGATAACTCCCTTCCCGTACACAACGAGATTATATATGTAATTATATTTAATATTTTGCTTTATATGTGTATAATATTTTGGTCTACTTGTGTATGTATGTATTGATATGATTTGTGCCTAAATTATTGATTAGTAATTTATCTATAATTATCGCTGGTCGATTTATCTCTTATTCATTATATAACAGCATCCTAAATACTGTTTTATCACGGTGGGAACAGAAATAACTTGACCATACAGCCGGGCGAGAAACTGGTGTTCCTGCCGTGGAAACATCACTTCAGCAAGGACTCCTACTTGACCTACACTAACAGGGAGAAGCAGAACACCAGGATCCCTTACTACAAGCTGGAGCATATTTTGGATGTTGTCAACACGACTAACCCTTATCTGGACTGACTGGAGGACAAGGTAGTCTCTGTTAGATGTCTCTCTTAGCTAGACTAATTGGAGGACAAGGTAGTCTCTGTTAGATGTCTCTCTTAGCTAGACTAATTGGAGGACAAAGTAGTTTCTGTTAGATGTCTCTCTTAGCTGGACTAATTGGAGAGAGAGTAGTCTCTGCCTAAAATATCCATCGCTCTTATCTGGACTAACAGAGGATATAATTATCTCCACCAGAAATCTGTCCTCTGTCATACAATAATTCGACCATTCAAACACCTGTCCACTGCCTCATTCTCTTCAAACCACTGCCTCTCCTTGCTTTGAGGCATTATATATAAAGCAAGTCTGATTAAATAGATCAACGATTATTTTAACATAGTGTTCGCTGTTCAGTAAAAGCTCGAGTCCTATAAATCTTCATTGCTGGATCTGGACCTTGACTAACACGATTGATTGATTGATGAAGATTAAGCCACCCATGACGTGGCACGGGCGTGAATAGCCCCGTAAAGGGACTAGCACGTCATCTCAGCTAGGTATGAACCAAGACTGGCACGTCTTGGACTGGCAAGACTGGAACTCTTGTGTATATATAAATAAATAAATAAAAAATAAATAGTAATCCAATTCATTGTTGAATAGATAAGACTACCCAAATAAAAGCCGCATCCTCTATGGCTGTAACTTAATAATGAAAACGGGCTCTTTTTGAAAGGAGTAACTCTGATAAATCTGTATGATATCATCAAATGTGACGTTATTTTTAATTAAACAGTGATTTTAAATCAATTTTTATTTGATTATTAAATTGTATATTTAGAAAAAGGTCCATTTTTTAAACAACCACCACATGTTCTGGTGACAATAAAGACCCTTTCAGAATGAACATTTCTCTGTGAGATTGAACATTCTACTGTCATATAAGTGTTCAATGTTCTGGTGGCGAATTGTTCGTTTATGAATAACAAATTGAGTTTCGTTTATCTGCACTTTACATTTTTCCTCAATAACCAATCCAAAAAATATATAAACATCGGCTTGAATTTAATGTTTTTTGATGAATTAAATAATTTTGCAATTCTTCGTAATGCTTGAACATACTTTTGGAAACAGGTGACAACTGCTAACAAGTTAAGCTATTTATAAAATAAAAGACAAAGATATATATATATATACATATATATATATATATATATATATATATATATATATATATATATATATATATATATATATATATATATATATATATATATATATATATATATATATATATATATATATATATATACAATAGGCAAGAATAATAAAATAGCTCAAGACATGGTTAAAAGAGGGTAGTTTGTGTACAAACAACTGAGTCGAAGACTGAACCCGTCCTCGACTCAAGTCTATTCCATCCAGCGGTCGACCCCACAGACGCATTCATAAGTTTTTACAAGCTGTTCGTTCAAAACGGGAATTTTCTCAAATATAAATTAATATGATTAAATATAAGCATATTGTGCATATTTAGGCGCTGGTTAGGTTAGGTGTTTAGGTTCTGTTGGCGATTATTTGTATTTGTAGTACGTGGGTGAAGCATTTATAGAGTTGAGGTTCAAACAAAATTCGTCAGTGAAGCACTTGTTCCCGAAATGTTCGAACGAAATCAGTTGTGAGTCGCAGCTCGTTCTCCAAACAGAGACCCAAAAGTGATTCCATGCACCCGCCAAACCCCCTGTTTATGAATGGAAAACGGTTTACACGCGACTCACAACTGTTGACGTCCGAACACTTCCGGAACAAGTGCTTCACTGACGACTTGTGTTCCAACCACAACGCTGTAAATGCTTCACCCACGTACTACAAATACAAATAATCGCCAACAGAACCTAAACACCTAACCTAACCTAACCTAACCTAACCTAACCAGTGCCTAAATATGCACAATATGCTAATGTTTAATAACATTAATTTATATTTGAGAAAAGTTCTGTTTTGAATGAACAGCATGTTAAAAATGATGAATGCATCTATGGGGTCGACCGCTGGATGGAATGGACTTGGTCTGAAGTCGGGTTGCCAAAATATGGAGTTCAAGGCGAGACGAACTACAAGACAGAAGAGCAAAATCGCTGTAAGAGAAAGGACGGCCTTTATCCTCGCTGTGATCTCAAATATCCGACGACGCACATTGCCTCACAGGAAGACCAGGGGCCAGATTCACGAAAGCACTTACGCAAGCACTTACGAACGTTTATATCTTTCCTCAATCTTTGACGGCTTTGGTTACATTTATTAAGTAGTTTACAAGCATGAAAACTTCCTATTTAACTGTTGGTATTGTTATAAACAGCCCCCTGGTGCTTCGGAGCTCATTAACTGTTTAATTTCTCCTGCCCGAAACGCTGCGCGTACTAGTGGCTTTACAAGATTGTAATTACTATACTATGTATCCTCACAATCCCAATGTACCTTCTTGTATATATATAAATAAATAAATAAATAAATAATTGGAAACAAAGCTGCCAAAGATTTAGAAAAGATGTACAGGTTCGTAAGTGCTTGCGTAACTGCTTTCGTGAATCTGGCCCCAGTACGGTAAGAGACATTCATATGTTCACAAATGCGGTGTTTTAGGTTTCTTGAGGCATTTCCCACATTTCAAGTTCAAGTACGTTTATTGAGACAAGAAAAAAATACATCTCAAAGGGATAGAGTAGCTTAGGCTATTTCTACCCCCCCCCCACCCTTCCCACATATCGAACGTCACATTCCGAACATTTAAATAGGTAAACAGTTCGAAAGACAATGGATCGTTTGGAACAGTTAAATAGATAGTTCGAAAGGCAATGAATCGTTTGAAACAGCTTCCAGTAGTGTTAGTGTTAGTAAACACGAACTGGGAACTATTTTGTGGATAATTTTGTCTAATATTCCTAAGTTCCTTCCTAATGTAATAGCTTACCATACCTAAATTTGGAAATTTTAAGTTTCACTAAGTAGAACATTTTTGAATAAAGACTCAACTTCCATATTCGCCAGGACAGTGTGCAGGCGATGAGTCACAATAACTTGGTTAAATTATGTTGACCAGACCACACACTAGAAGGTGAAGGGACGACGACGTTTCGGTCCGTCCTGGACCATTCTCAAGATCGACTTGAGAATGGTCCAGGACGGACCGAAACGTCGTCGTCCCTTCACCTTCTAGTGTGTGGTCTGGTCAACATGACAATATCCTTATAAAATTTAAGATCCTCAATTTCTTTATCAAATTGGGTAGCACTCTCAATCGTATAACTATTATTAGTAAAAGCTGCTTTAATTGGCACTAGAAATTTAGATAATTTATAATTAAACGTACGAATGGAAGAAATTATAGGTCTCGACTGAACATATAAACCGTCTATCTTTGTGTATGAATTTTTGGAAGACCATAAAGGCAACCTGGTTTCGAACCGGCTGTATAAAGACCAATATAATAATAAAAATAATTATAAACTTGATCGTCTATATGGGTTTTAAAGTCTTAAAACCTATTTAATTCGCCAAGCATTAAAACAATAGACACCTCAACAATATAAATTTAGAAATGTCTCTCAAAATACTATTAACCTAATTACAAAAATCAATTCTATTATGTAGTACCACTCCACGACCTTCATCAGGTCTAGTAATTATGAGATTTTCGACTTCTTTAAATTTTTTGAAAATCTTTAGAATTTTCATGGTTTTTTTATGCGATTGTTAGGCAATTCGGCCCTTTGATACGATATATATATATATATATATATATATATATATATATATATATATATATATATATATATATATATATATATATATAATATATATAATATATATAATATATAATAATATATATAATATATAATAATAATAATAATAATATAAGAACACTGCAGTTGGTATGAAATTAAAATATGTCTTGATGATTATGAATATAATAATATATTCATGGATTCTTTAAAAAAAAATAATTTATGTAACTCTAATGACGGAGCCGCATCCATAATAATGAGCATTGCTGAATAGCAAATGCTCGCATTAGGACACATTGCTCAGATTAATTATTGATGCATTTTCCTTTTTAATATTCGTGCTCCTCTTTTTGTGTGTGTGAAAAAGAGGAACGTATCTGTGTATTTGATTTTTGACAGAATTTCTGTTTTCAGGAGGAAATATTTTTGTACGTAAGTCGAATGATTTTTGCTATGTAGATCAGGTTATTTTTTGTAAGTTCTTGGACTGTTAGATATATATATTTATTTATATATATACAAGAAGGTACATTGGGATTGTGAGGATACATAGCATAGTAATTACATTCTTGTAAAGCCACTAGTACGCGCAGCGTTTCGGGCAGTATGAGATATATATACACATATATGTTGACAACTTTGGTCTGCCATATGAGTTCGTATTCGCGACGGATATCATTCGCTGGAGACGTTCGGACGCGGAGAAATTTGGTCGCTGGTGG